AACTTGAGTTTACAAAGAAGGTTTTCATCCGTTTTTTCCAGGCATTATAGTTCGAACCTGTAAACCACGGTGGATTATGATGCGACGCAGGACCGAACGCAGCAGGAGAATTGGTTCCCATGAATCGTAACCTTTGGCAGTAGCTAGCTCTTCAAAGGAAGGCTCTGATACCACTTGAAGGTCGATTTTAGGATTAGGGATTTAGGGAAATTTGGGAGAAATGAAAATGTCTAACGAAGAAGATGACAGAACAGTGTGAGCTTCTGTTATTCTTCTCGCTGGACTGTGGGCCAAAGAGAAACTAAAGCCCAACTGAAAGCAAAGTGAAATTGGGCATGTTATCAAACACGACCTCTCCACAGAACAACACTTGTTCTTCTTTTGATTTGTAGAAGGAAAAACAGAGTTAAGCAGCAAGAATCAAAGATCAGAAGCAAGAGCAAGAACACAGCGGTTTAACGAGGTTCACCAAGAATGGCTACGTCCTCGTCCCGGTAATAGTCCACACTACTACCGAGAGACACTATATTTTCTGATTTTATAGACACAGTTACAAAGCAAAGAAACACACGAAACCAACAGAGTTCAATCCAAACTCTGTTCCTTCCTGCCACTCTCACAGAACCTATACCCCTGGAGAAAATCCCTCTTTTGTTCTTGACAAACTAGCCCTCTACCGCTATTCTCAGAGATTACAAAAGATGAGTAGAAAAGACCAAGACCTATCAATTATATACTCCTCCTTTAGCTAGCCGTTGGTGAAAGGAGCCGTTGCTGATTAGCTTTGATTGAGCAGAGAGTTACCAAATTTTGCAGACTTCCCTTGTATGTCCAGCTCTGATCTCGACCAAAAACTCTACGTATCAAGAGTAGACCCAAACGCTATTTGGCTACGCCTCTTTCCTTTCTCCATATGTGTAAAGCCAAGAGGAGGCATTTTGCGTCCGTGGGAGGCACTAAGGTCCAAGCTTTCATAAAAGAGTTCTTCCCTCCATGGATGAATGACAAAGTAAGGGATCAAATTGATCGCTTTGGAGAATGCAATTCAGAGTCATTGTATGAAACGTGTAAGTGATTCTATTAGCTCATTCGTTATTGCTCTCGTCATGGCTTTGGGCATGAACACAGGGCTAACTGATGATGAACTACGTACATATAATAGGTCAGGAGGTGACTTTAAAATTTTGGAGCGCCAATTAGCCTCACTTACATAGCTTACAACACTCAGAATCTCAGGGATCTCTCTCGAGTAATATAGAGAACGATCCAAAATAAGATGTCAAAATTCCTGGTAAAAACCAAGTTTTATCTCACGAAAATGTTACCAAGTTTTGGCGAGAATCAAATTATGTTGAGTCCCTGTGCCATAAAATATAGGAGGTATCAGGAAGTACGAAGGTGAGCTAACTGTAAATTTCTCACTACACAGAAACCAAAGAGCACGTCACTATTTTTAGGCTAGAACCAACGGTCATGATGATGATTTTTGGTAGCCCAAAAGAGACCCCAGAACTCGATTCCACACGTTATGGAATCGTTTGGACTCCATAAAAGTCATTCCCGAAAATAAGAAAAATTGTCACTAATCGTCTCCAATATGCGATTTCCTGCTCTTATCTTCTATCATCTAGATAGATAGAATCAAATCATATCTAGTGTCCTGTTGAATTGAGGCGGAGTCAATTTGTCATGAGTGGGTGGGTTGAGGCCGGCCACATCTTGGATCTAGATTCTAGATTAAATAATGAAAATATCGGTTCCCCATCCATGCAAACACAAAGAAAATTATCTGTAAATGGATTATCGTAAATATCAATTATTTTTATTTGTTTTGTTGCACCCATTTTGATTAAAATTTTGACTTCACCTTTTTTTTAAGATGACTTCACCCTATTTTATGATTGAATTTTATGTATTGAACTGTATGGATTTACCATATAAGATCTTAGACTAACAACAATGGGGTAGGATAAATGGAGAAAAGAGGGAAAGTTTCCCACAATGGGGTAAGGAAAAGTGGAGAAAATGAGAAAGGAGGAAAAAAAGCGGGAGAATAGTCATCTATAGAAGACAAAAAAAATGTAGGAAGGGGAGGGGGTGGGGCCCACCCCTGGATGAATTTTTTTTTTTTTTTTTGCTTTTTTATTTTATTATTTTCACGGTTTAGTGTTTGTTTTTATTATTTCTTAATTATTTTTATGTTCAATATTAATGTAACAACTTTCTTGTGTAAATTATTGTGATTTCGTCATTAATGACATTAATTAATGATGAAAAAAATTATGCCCAAATTAAAAAAAATTATATCAAAATATTCGTATTAATTATCACTAACTATGTAAAGATAATGATCTTTATATAAAAATAAAGTGACAAAATCAACTATAGATTGATTTTACCAAAAGACTGTTCAACCAATTACCCTTTTTTCTCACCTCACATTGTGACCAAACCCTCCATCTCCCCTCTTTTCCCTATTTGTCCACCCTTGTTTCCCTTCCATAGTATGAATGGTCTTACCCACATAATTGGATTCGTTTACCCCATGCCAACAGTCTTGTAATTTAAAATGCTAAACAATTAATACGGAGGTTATGCACTCTTGCATAATTAATTTTGGACCTTCCTTTTTAAGTGTGCCCAGAAAATTCATATTTAAGGGTTGAGAATTAGAAGCATTATATTTTTCATATTTTTCTTAATAGGCTCTTATCTTCTTCGTTATAACTCGGATTTCAATTATTTTTTTGCACAGATGGAACGAGGTCGTTGTGCTCTACAAAATGAGATCCATTTTTCAATATTTTCTTACAATAAAAATTTCATAACTCTCGTTACCAACTCCATACCATATGGTATCTTCTTCGTTTTCAAGTCGTTTAAAACAAAAAACACGGAATGAACGAGTTTATCATGATCTATTGGATCTACAAATTTTTGGGAGAACAAAAGACATGACCAAAAAATATCACACTATACCACCCTAGTATGGGGGATGGTATCTTGTGTAGGGATGGCAACAGAACCCGAACTCACTGGTACCTTACCTGACCCAACCCAGTCAACGCGGGTAAAACCGGTGTTGACGAGTTTTCAGCCGGGTTTAGGTTTAAACACGTTCACTATTCACCAAATTGGGTTGGGTTTGGAATTAGGTATACCCGCCCCATGGATACCCTCCCACAACCATATAATTAATTTTCCCGGTATATATAATATTGTAAGCAACTAGTCTTCTTATTTATGTTTGACGAGACATGTCTAATTTTTTCTTTCTAATTGTGTAGAATGAAGTTGGTATTATCGAGTGGAGAGTGAAGAATTTTAATTGACAAGGAAGAAGAAGCTTTCAATTAATCATGTTTGTTTATGGATAATTTGTGATTTGCTTCAATTTTCTTGAATTTTCTAGATTGGTGTTGAACAATTTGTATGGTTAATTTGTGATTTGCTTGAATTTTCTAAAATGGTGTTTTATATATGGATAATTTGTATTGAGAGATTGATATTTGACTTTTATTTTGATAGGAACTTGTTATTGTAAATTTTTTACGAAAAAACCTATGTGTACCCATGAAACCGCGGATACCCAGCAGGTTGGGTTGGGTTTTAGTTTTCCAAACCCAGTGGTTTTACCTCGGATTTTTTTTTCATGGATAAACCCATGTGTTTGGATTTGGAAAAACCCGACCCATTGCCATCCCTAATCTTGTGGTACACAATGTTGAAAATCGTAAATGATAGTTTATATACTCCTACTATCGTGTACATAGGCGGAGGCAGGGGCATTAGCCCTTGTCACAGGATAGGGGCAAATTTCGGAGTGGAAACAATACTCATATATATTTATATTAATGATGGAACAAACAATTATAGGTGGTATTATAATATTTTATCAGTATAACACAACTTATTGGTTGTTCATAAATTGATATAAAATTAATTTATTATACTATAAATGAACTTTTAATTGCAATAAAGACCTAATAGAATCTTTTTTCTCCTTATGTTTATTCGTTTTCCCCCAACAATCCTGAAATTTTTCTGCGACAACGGCATCCACTAGTTTTGATTCTACCAATTTGCAACTACAAATGCAGATAGAACATTTTCAGCTTTGAGTTATATTAAGAACAAGTTTTGAAGTCGAATTGGCGACCAGTTTGCTAATGATTGTTTAGTGCGATACATTAAAAGAGACTTACTTAATATTGTAGACAACAAATGTTTTGTGTTTTTTTCACAATATGAAATTCCGTCGTGGTTGCTTATGAAAACAATGATTTTATTAGTCAATTATTTTTTATATGTGAATGAATTATTTGGATGTTAGTTTTAATTTATTTATTAAATAATTATTAATTAAATATTTATATATTTATATTATGGAAAGAGGACAGGGGTAGTTTCAAATCCTGCCTCCGCCACTGATCGTGTATTCAACCATCCTATAGTCTTGTTATATATGTTCATACCACATGGTACGCTTTCATACTATATGGTATGGTCTTATTTTAATACCAATCGATACCACCATGGTATAGGCTGGTAAAAAATGACTCAATTTTAATTTTGTTCCAAAAGTATATAAAAGTGGATATCAGTTTGAAAATCACAATTAATCTGATTTATCTGTGAAAAAAAATCCGAGTTAAAACGAGAGAGAAATCGTTCGTTAAAAATTACAGAAAAAAAGATTAAAAATTTTCCATAAGAGAGATGTTGATGTGAGCGATTCTGGTTGGATTATGGTTGGTTATTAACCCGTACGTTATTGACAGGATCTCTTCCAATAATACACGGCTTGCTTGATCGGATCAACATACACATAAAAAAAATGACATGACATGAAAAAGGAATGAAACCAAATTAGGTAGCATCCACATGGATGGTGATCGATCTGACATGGCATACCTTAATCATTACCTGGATGGATATACGGCCCGTTAATTATTATTAATAGATTAATTTATTGTTATGACGTAGGAGATGAGCATTACTTAATCTTTACTCTTGACGATCGATGCCGGGGAATTTCCGGCCGTGACGTTCCCGTCGAACGAGTTCCACGCCAAACTCACCGCGGACTGCAGGGCCAGCTTCTCCGCCTCCAGCTTGGTCTTCCTCTCCTCCTCGTACGCCTCCCAGGCCAGGATCACCTCGTCTTTGGCCTTCATCTTGTCCTCGTACGACTCCCAAGCTGCGAACTCGAAATAACTGGTCCATTCTTCCTCGGGGCCGTAGACCATTGCCACTTGGAACATGTCCGGGTTGCCGGCACTCTCGTTGGCAAGGTAGACACGCTTCTGGTTGGGGACGTAGTTAAAGCCCACGGTGTTCGGCGGCTGGTCGGTGGGGAAGAAGGGCTGGAAGAGGGTGCAGTTGACTGGGTCGGAGATGTCCTCGTTGGGGGCATCGGCGATGGCAGCCACCCAATACCACGTCATATCCTTAAGCTGCAAGAATTTGTTGTCGTAGGAGCAGCGGAGGTGGACGTACGATGAAGGGTTGGTGGTGGAAGGAACAACCTCCAGCTTCACGAATGGGCTCACCGGATCCACCTCCCGCTTAGCGCCCAAACACCTTTGCATCTCGCCGAACTCGTCGTTCCACAGGTAGTGCAGGTAAGTCCCGTAGGTCTTTGATCGGAGCACCACGTACTGAGGTAGTCCGGCAACTATCGCCATCACTTCCTTCTTCTTTTCCTTTCCTATCCTTTCCTTTCCTCTCTCCCTGGGAAGTATCGCTACTGTATATGAGAGCCACTCGCTTGCTAGCTAGTTGTTATTGTTGAAATTTTAGCTAGAATACAAATTAAGTATTCCCAATGTAGTGGACAAAATTGGAGCAACAAGCAGGAGGAGGGGTCAATTATATCATTTATTGGTAGTTATTATTCATATGCAACTTGTATGGAATGTGAGCAACCAACAAGGAGAAGTGAATGATGAGAGGCATTGGGATCACAGCGTGATGGATTGATGGTGATGAAGACCAATTTGGATTACACAAATAAACGAGGGAGTTGAGCTTTCTACTCATATCTCATCTACAATCCTTTTGATCGGGGCACCACATACTGCGGTAGTCCGGCAATTGTCGCCATCACCCCTTATTCTTTCTTCCTCTCTCTATTTGATCCTCCTTACTTTCTTTTCCTTTCTTCTCCCTTTGAGAAGTATCGCAACTGTATATGAAGAGGAGTGTTGAATGGTAATATGTAATCAAATTTATCACTAAACACTATATGATAGGCCTCATTATTATCAATTATGGATTAATCATCATTATCAATTCATGATGGAATATATATCAAGTGTTCCTTCTCCACCTCTAGCTCATGGCAAATAGTAGTAGCTAAGTGACCCACATTCAAGACATGAAGAAATGAATGCATGGGCCAAAGAAAAATTCAATGATCACATGCATACATATCATCAGTGGTATAAAGGCCGAAGGGTAAGAGTGTCTTCAATGTTAGATTGTTAAATATGGGCCAAGTAACATTGATGATTTAATTGTTGTTGTTTTTTTAACGTATTATGTTTTCGTAATTGACCATAATTTCTTTGAAAAACAATTGAACAATTCCTACGAATATCGTTAATCATAGTTTGCATAAACGCTGATCACAACGTTTAGAATGACCAAAACAGTTAATAATTTGATGGCATATACATGGTTTCAATACCCATTAGCAACACATCTGATAGTTAACCTAAAAAAAATATGAGAGGGGCTCTCTCCTCTCTCCTAGTAGGGTGCTATTCGATCGGCAAATGGCTTACGAGGATGATCGTCGCCATTTTCACTGTCTGTTTGACAAATCAAGAGGTGGACTGGTGTCGATCCAAATCAAGTGATCGCTTTCCCATACCGGGACGGGCAATAATCACTGTAAAATAAGATGAACGCGGAAAAGAAACAATGCACACGACACCAAGATTTACGTGGTTTCCTCGTTCAAGATGAACGAGACTACTCCACGGAGAGCAAAGAGCTCTCGCCTGAAAAACTAATACGTGAGTGTTTACCCTTTTGCTTAGGGTTTACAGGCGGCCAAACAAAGCTATAAATAGTCTTCCCAAAAGTAACAGGCAGCGGGGAAAAGACTAAACCAAAATTACAAACTGATCCCTAATCAATCAACATGTAACACTAGGGATCCCAATACTCCCCCTCAAGCGAAGGAGTGAATGTCAAGAAGTCCGAGCTTGCCAAGAAGATGACCAAACTGATCAACGCTCAAACCCTTGGTAAACAAATCAGCAGGTTGTTCCGAAGTAGCAATCTTCCGAGGAACAATGTCACGAGACTGAACTCGTTCACGCACAAAATAGCAATCCATCTCCACATGTTTGGTCCGCTCATGAAAAACCGGATTAGCTGCAATATGAAGAGCAGCCTGATTATCACAAAATAACGGAGTAGGATCCGAAATGTGAACACCCAAATCACGGAGAAGCCAGCGCAACCACAACACCTCGCTAACCGTACTCGCCATAGACCGATACTCTGCCTCGGCCGAAGAACGCGCCACAACTGTCTGCTTCTTCGTGCGCCAAGAGATCGGAGAAGCACCAAGAGTAATAAAAAAGCCTGAAGTAGAACGCCGGGAGAGAGGGCAACCGCCCCAGTCGGCATCACAGAAGGCAGTGAGAACAAGAGGATTAGACGCCGGGAAGAAGAGCCCTCGACCCGGAGTCGACTTGAGGTACCGAAGAACACGTACCGCAGCTTCCTCATGTGCCCGAGTGGGAGCTTTCATGGCCTGACTAAGCAAATTCACAGAATAAGTGATATCTGGTCGTGTGACTGTGAGATATAACAATCGACCAACTAGTCGACGATACGCGCTAGCATCCGCTGCGGGAGGAGACTCATGGCGCCCCAAATGATGTTGTTGCTCGATAGGTGTCGGACTAGGCCGAGCTGCAGTAAGGCCAGAGTCAGCAAGAATGTCCAAGACATACTTCCGCTGATTCAAAACAATTCCTTTGGGGGAACGAGCTACCTCTATGCCCAAGAAGTACTTCAAGGAACCAAGATCCTTGATAGTGAACTGTGCATGAAGAGAATCCTTAACCCGAGCAATAAAAGCCAAGTCTATGCCAGCGAGAATCACATCGTCAACATAGATGAGAGCTGTCACATAAACTGACGCGCGACGATAGACAAAAAGTGCATGATCCACACGGCTCTGAACAAAACCAAGCGCAAGAAGGGCCTGAGTGAACTTTTGGTACCAATTGCGCGAAGCCTGACGAAGCCCATAGATGGATTTATGTAAACGACAGACACGAGTGTCACCAGGTCGAGCAAAACCTTGCGGAACTGTCATGTACACCTCCTCATTAAGATCGCCATGGAGAAAAGCATTATTCACATCGAGCTGATGAATATGCCAATTACGAGTAACTGCAACTGCTAGAAGACAACGAACCATGACAAGTTTTGCCACCGGAGCAAAAGTATCATGATAGTCAATGCCCTCAACCTGTGTGTAACCTTTGGCAACAAGTCGAGCTTTATAACGCTCGACGGTGCCATCAGGATTAAACTTCACCTTGAAGACCCAACGACATGCAATACTCTTCTTTCCAGGAGGAAGATGGACCAAGGTCCAAGTACCATTAGCAATTAATGCATCAATCTCTTTTTGCATGGCATCCCGCCAATGCTTATGACGCACCGCTTGATAAAAATAAGTGGGCTCCTCGGCTGCAGTGACGGCGGCTACAAAAGCATGATGCGCCGCAGAGAGACGATCATAGCCAAGATAATCCTCAAGAGGATACTCTACTTCAACCGAACCCCCAAAACCTGGTAGATCAACATCATACCCACGCAAACGCGTGGAGGGAACTCGGGCGCGGTCACCGCGACGCGGTAATGGGACTGCTGGGGGAGACGAAGCCACTGCTTGCTCCGGGGAACGCTGGCTACTGGTAGTAGGAGGAGAAGACAGGCGACTATCTAGACTGGGACCATCCCCGACCTCAGGAGAGGGCGGAGTTGCCGCTGGCAGACTCGGAGGACAAGCCGAGGAAGAAGAGTGTGCTGCCAGATGACTCGGAGCAGGCGAAGTAGGTGACACGTGAGGGGATGACTCCATTGCAGGATGAGAAGAATCGGGCAAGGGGTCATCATCAAAGTACTTTGGTGGAACACCAAAATGTGGCCGAGACAGTGCTGCTGGTGTCAACTGGGCCTCATCATTAACTGCATGATATGGATAGATGTCTTCCAAGAACTTAACATCCCGAGACGTATAAATCACGTGCTTCTCAAGATCATATATGCGATACCCACGCTGATTAGAGGGGTACCCAATAAAAATACCAGCACGTCCTCTCTCCGCAAACTTGTGAAGTCCCTGATGAGTATCCTTGGCATACGCCAAGCAACCAAAAGCTCTAAGATGATTATACGAAGGATCGCTGCCGAACAGGACTTGATATGGAGACTTGTTCGCAATACTAACAAGTGGCATTCTGTTGATGAGATAAGCCGCAGTTAACACACACTCGCCCCAAAACTTTAGTGGCAAATTTGCATGGAAACGCAAAGCTCGCGCGGTATCAAGTAAGTGTCTGTGTTTACGTTCCACCACTCCATTCTGCTGTGGAGTATCAGTGCACGAAGTCTGCAGAACAATACCATTTTCTTCATAATAAGACAACAAAGCAGTAGTGGCAAATTCAGGTCCATTATCTGCTTGGATACGACGAACCTGCTTGTCAAACTGAGTACGAACCATGCTACAAAAGTACAGCAAGTAGCGACCAACATCTGATTTATGTCGCATCAGAAAAACCCAGACCGCACGAGAATAATCATCAACCACTGTCAAAAAATAATGTGCACCAGTAGTAGATGCTGTCTTATAACTTCCCCAGATATCAATATGAATAAGATCAAAAACCGACTTGGTTTTAATAGTACTAGACTCAAATGAATTCCGAGTCTGTTTAGCTCGTAAACAAGATCGACAAGGGTCTCTAGACTGAATGAGAGGATAATCAATAAACTTCTCCAATGTACTAAGTTTTGCCGAAGATGGATGACCCAGCCTGGCGTGCCACGTATCCGCCATGCTCAGAGAATGTCGAACCGAGTGCGCCACTGGATGCTCCCCATCAAGCAGCTGAATATAGTACAGCCCGTTCACCTGCTTACCCATCCCAATCAGCCTCTTGGATGGTAAGTCCTGAATGACACATAAGTTACCCAAGAAGATTAATGCGACTGGAAGATCCGCTGTCAATCTACTAACAGAGAGTAGATTACACTGAAATTCAGGAACATGTAGAACACGGCGCAAAGGTAATTCATTAGATAACTTGCTTGTCCCAATGCAACTAACTTTAACTCCTGTTCCATTAGGAATTTTGACCTATAGAGTTGGAGACGAATCCAACTCGTCATCCAACAACGAAGCATCATTAACAATATGTTCAGTACATCCTGAATCAATTAACCAAGCAGAGGAGTGACCAGCAAACGTACCTGCCATGTTGGAAGCTGGCTCAAGAGGAGAAGACTGGCGCAGATCATTGATCAACAATTCTTTGAGCTGCGCAAATTGCGACGAGGAGAGACCAGGAAGGGGACTCGAAGTAGCGTCTACTTGGGCTGCCTGTGGCTTGCTGCCTTTCTCACTACGACGTCGAGTTTGATCGCCCCT